GGGGAGGTGGAGCGGCGGCCCCGCGGCTCCCGGCGGCGTAGCGCGGTTCCTGCCGCCGGGGTGGGCGCGGGGCAGCGCCGCGGTGACCGCGCCGGGAGGAAGCGGCGGCAGGAGAGCGGGCTCCGGCAGCAGCCCCGCGCGGCGCGGCTGTCCCGGGGACACTGCCGGCCCCCAGCGCGGGGACAGCCCAGGCGCGGGGACAGCCCCGGCTGCCCGGGGACATCCCCGTGTCCGCCGGCCGGGGGACATGCCTGCCCCGGGCAGCCTGGCAGTGCCAGCGGCGCCGCTGGCGACACGTCCCGCCGGGCTCCCCGCGTCCCGCCGCGCTCCCCGCGTCCCGCCGCGCTCCCCGCGCCCCTCTGCCATCCCGCTCGTGCTGCCAGCGCTCCTTGGGTTCGTGTCGGGTTTATTTGTGGCACCTTCGCAGCGCTTGAGCTTTTCAGCTGGGGCCGGACTGCGATATAATGTGGTATAATTACATATTGTGCTGCGCTCCGGAGCTTCCCCAGCCGGCACGTTTAGTTCTGCTTTGTGTGGCTCTTTGTTTTGTTCCATAGGAAAGACTGTCACATAGGGATTGGTTCTGTGCTCGGGGATAGTTTCCATAAATGCAGCAGCCGGCCCTCGCAGGTGCCCTGCTCCTGTTTGCCTGACGTGCAGGGAGCTGCTTGTTCCKGTTGTGGAGACAGCAGTGCCGTGGAATCCGTGTTCTCGGTTGGTCTGGGATGGGGTGCTGTAGGGCACGGGAATGGCTTGGGAGCCAGGTGGGTCCGTCCATCAGCGCTGCCCTGTGCGGGCACTCGGTGCCCTCCGGTTATCGCTCCAGCCTCCTGGTGGCTTCAGGAGGAAGAGCCGCGCGATTCCTTTTTCCTTTTGGACAAGCCCCCTTTCCCTTCCAAACTGAGGTGGGAACGGAGCTAACATTGCATTGCAGACCAAGTGGGCTTTCTAGGCCTATACCTACCAGAGAGATCTCTGAAGAACTGGAATTTGATTGTGGAATAAAAGCGTCCTCAGACATTTGGTGTGTCTGGATCCTCGGTGCTGTTGGCAGCGAAGCCGTGTGCGAGCCCTGAGCGGGCAGCGGTGCCCTCGGAGAGAGGCAGCACAGTGCGTGTTTGTCGGGAAGCAGCACAGGGAGTGTAAAAACCTCCCTGCTCCTCGGGCAGATCTTAGATAAAGGGTTTTGGAAGCTCTAGGGATGAAAATTGCTGTGTTTTCTGGTATTAGCAGCAAGGAAGGGTAAAGTGTGGAGGCACTTCAATACCGTAGCCTATTTAGGCTATTATAAAGTCCTAGAAACTGAGCGTAGAGCTTTTTCATTTGCATCTTCTCAAGCTCTCAAATTTTGAGAAAGATTCTCCAAGACATTAAGAAAATGAATGAATGAATGGCTGTCACTGAGCGCAGGGAAGGGCACGGGACCCATTGTGCCATCCTCTCCGTGGCACAAAGGGGACCTGCGGGGAGGGACGGAGGGACGGGCAGGCAGGAACCATCCTGCCTGGCTGCAGACATCCCGAGATATTGCCCCAGGACAAAGAGCCAGCAGCTCAGTGCCGCTTTGTGCAAGCTCCCGATTTAATTTCCGGCCCTTTTCAGAAGTTTCCTATCTGATGTGTCTGTCAGTGGGAGCCTGGTTAACCCTGAGGGTGCTCAGCTGGCAGCTTTTTGTTCAAAGCTCTGCTTTTTGTGTTGGTGGGAGGGGGAGGAACAGAACGCCTTCCTATGGGTCTGCAGGAGATGCTCTTCCTTGCAGGAGTTGGACCGCAGGGATTTCTGCATCCAATCTACCATGCACTTCAGTTAACTTCGTATTATTGTGCCTTTAGTCACCCTAAAGTCTGTGTTSAGCTGGGTTCAACTTCTCAGCAGGTCCGTGCACCCCTTGGAGTCACGGGGTTCAACGTGTGTTACGTGTGAATGGTACCCGGTATAGCCCTGATGTGGCACTGATTCACATGCAAAATCGACACTGATTCATCTGCAAATACAGTGTCTCAGCTGGCGAAGGCCTGGGCTGTTCGGGCTGGGCAGATGAGCATTCTGCACACGCAGTAGGTAACATTCCTGGTTGCCTCTCTTAGGCTTCCACCTGAACCCAGAAACCAACMAGAATAGTAGAAAAACGGAAGACAACCAAAGTATGAGTCACTGTGAACTTTCAGCCAGGACTTAAAAAGTTAAGTCCTGAACGTGTTTCTGGTCTGAATCTGTTCAGATTATCCATACAAATTCAACAGGGATGAAGTTTTCTAGTATGCAGTGCTAGAAAATCCTGAACTGGCCACAGCACAGGTATAGGTCTTTAATATCATAACAAGAGTCTTTTGGGGGAGTGTCCGCATAGAGCGATGAAGGGAATTGTCCGTCTCTGCCCACACCATGAGCTGGTAGGAGAACACATAGCTGTGATTGTGCAGCAGTGACTCCGGGCCAGGTGCACGGGACCGTCACGCTGCACCTGCCTGTACATATGTTTATTTATACATTGGGCTGCTGCATCTGTACTGCATGTGCAGTGACAGTATAAAGCACTGCAGGCAGATTTTAAAGATTTCATAGTTTTCATTCTCTGAGTAGTAAGTTGGTCATTGGCTTTCTTCAGGTCATGGAACTTGTGCTGGACAGGCTCATTTCATGGAGCTGCAGGAGCATAATCAGGATTTATGGAAAGAGGGAATATCTCATCTTACCTGGGGACACAAGCCCTTTTTTTCAGAGGGATTTCAAGAAACAAAGTCACTAAATGTCCAAAAAATCATTTGTTTGCCTTCCATTGCTCTGTGCCACCCTGACAGAAGGCTGCTCGAGTCATGGAGCTGCAGAGCGCCCGTAACACCCAGTGCTGCCCAAAGAGCCACAGTGCTCCTGGAGCAGCCCCGGGAGGATAGGCCAGGCTGTGCAGAGGACAGATCAATAGCTCTGTGTGTTTTACCACTGCCCATCGCGAAATCTAGGAAAGAAATTCCCAAGAGGATTTTCTTACAGGCTTGTTGTTGTAAACACATGACTCTTGGACACAGCAGTATCTTCAGACTTGATAGTGCGTGTTTGTCAGTAAAATAGGGTAGGGCTGCAGCCTTGAAATCTCTTTTCTAAGCTAAAAATAAGGAAGTAAATCAATGTGTTGCTCCCTTGGTGAGGACAGCTGAAATAGTGGTGGGATGTTTTCATATCTGGGGGTATCTGCTGCCAACATCTCTGTGCCATGATGTATTTCTGAGCTGAGTGATAATGGCTTTTTCTGCAGGACAGATGTTGCTGATGTCCTTATTGGGTCCAAAACTTTATGAGTACAAAATGCTCAGTAAAAGTATTTTCACACATTAATGCTAAGTGCCAGAAAATAGTGCACATATGATTTCAATCTTAATCCTTAATTTAGCTGATGTCTCAAAGATAGCAGAGTTGCTCCCTGCCCAACAAACGTAGCATTTTGTGACGTGGGCTAATTGCTATGGGTTGCACTAAGTATATATTATTCATTAGGACACTGCCATTATATCATGTTTTTTGAATTCCCCAAAGTCTCTATCACTTTACAATCACATCTAAACGCATATGGAAAACAAGCTTTTGGTGTCCTTCTACGTGGCTGGCTGATGTTCTGGCCCACTGAACTCTCCCTCTGCTGCAACCACTTTTAATAAACATACTTCTTTGCTTCATATAAAAATAAACTGACTTTGGGGAGGTAGCTTAATCTGTGTGTTCACATTATCAGGGAGAGCGCTACTCTTCCACAGAGTATATGTTATCTCAGTTTAGCAGGAAAGTGGATGGCAAAAKCTATTTATTATGCTGCTTTCTTGCTAAACTACTGTGGCCTGTCTATACCTGGCTCGCTATGTGGCTGCTTTATCTGTCTGGATTTTTTTTTTGTCCTTTTTTTAATCCCAAACCTACCTAGTTACCCATCAGTTACATRCCCTTATGGCATTACTGTTTTAGCAAAAATGAAACAGAAGGTAATGAAAGGTACAGCTGTAATTCCCATTATTATTAGCAATTAGCAGATCCAGATTTTATTTTGCTCTAGCATTGCTTACCAGGACCAGCTGCGAAGAGAGCATTAAGGAGTGACCTTCGCAGCATTTCCCAGCGCCGTCATCCATCAGATCTGGCATGAGCTTTATCACGTCTATCAATGGGCTCATAAGCCACATGCTGTCTGGTCTGGGCGAGAAAACAAACAAACAATGGGAGCTACTGTAGGTTTTGTTTAAAATACAACGAACGTGGGTGAGCTTTTCCCATGTGTGCTGGCTTTGCAGACAGATTTTGATTTTTACAGGGTGCCGTTGTTGGTCTGATTAATAAAATATGAYGGTTGTAAAGCACTGAGAGAGGCTTGCACTAATCTCAATATCATTAACAAGTCATTCACAAACCCTGGCTTTTTCAGCCTTTAGCAGTTGATACTTTCCAGGCTTGTTCTGACCCTGAGTGTTATTTTCACTAAAGAAGAGTTAATGCAGTTATTTTTTATTTTTTTTTTTCAGGTATTTTCTGCACACATAAATACTGCAGAAGAAATAAGTGGCTTTCTGCTCTTAATTGAAATAATGGAGCTTTCTCAGATGGCGCAGTCTGTTACTTCTTGTGGGAATGTGTGTGCAGGCTTTTGTAAGCCTTTCTTTGCGAACAAGCTTAGAAGGTGGTGGCTGCTTTTCAGCATACAAAACATTATTAACACTTCGTAARTGTATTATTTTTGTTCATTGTGATTTGTTGGTGTGTTTCTTCCTACTGCCCTTGGTCTGGTTTTAGAGTTTTACTTAAATTTGCAACAATTGGCAGTCTTAGATTTATTTCACTGTCACTCAGACCATAACACTGCTTTTTTTTGAGCTCCCTTTGCTGTGCTTGTCCTGCCATCAAGTGCCAATTTCTCTCCTTCCTTTCCAGGGCCCCGACAGCTGGCAGGTTCTCATTTAATGCTTTCCTTCCTTGCAGGCAAAATTGTAGCTAMCTGTCAGGGAATAAGAAGCAATTAAGACAGGCAAAATTGCTAGGGTGGAATTTAGCTTCCTTTGTGGGTGTTTGTGTGTATATATACACAGAAGTATATGTATTATATATATACACACACACTCAGACACGTGTGTGTATATTTATACACAGAGACACACAGACACATATGTATTACATATAAATGCACACACACAATGTGTATGTAGGTATAGATGATATATCTTGGAGCCACCCCAGCACACAGGTTTTCTGAGGTAAGTTACTAATGTATATTTACAGTTGCTTSCCTAGCAAGTAAAAGATTTAGGCACTGAGATGAGAACAGGTAGGTTGAGGGCCARGAGAGGGTATGACCTGTAGTTTCTGTGCCTCTTTTAGCAAGCAGATTCTTGGCAGAAGCTGCCTGTGCACCAGGTTTGGGCAAAGAGGCTGGGAATGCTGTGGAAAACGTGCAATAACAGGTGTGCGAGGCAAATGTTYAGCCACCGTCAAATGCTTTTAGCAAAATGTGTCAGAGTGAATCACGGGTGTTATCTAGCTGGCTGTGGAGGGAATGACCAAGAGGGTTTTCCTGCGTGTCACAGGTTCGACCGGCTTCGCTGCCCCGGGAGCTGAGCTCCCAGCCCCTTCCCAGGGCACAGAGCAAATCCAGCCCAAAACCTGGCTGGGTTTCATCTTCTTTCAGATGCTGAGAGGCTTCTGGCAGCTGAACGGAGGGTTTGACAGACGTCCCGGGTGGTTTTGGAGGCCGCTGTCACCAGCTGCCTGCCTCGGCCCTGCTGGAGGTGGTGGAGCTGGCAGCAAGAAGGAGGCATCAGCTGCTGCTCTGCTCACCACCGCATGGCCAAAGCAGGGCAGGGAGCATGGAGAAGGCTAAAATACAACTGCTTGGAAGCTTGTTAAGAGTTCAGAGCCCCGAGCAAGCCAGCTCCATCAGGAGAACAGCCATAGAAGTCCCCCCCAAGGGTCAAGTCCCGTAGAGTCCTCACAGTCCTGCTTCGTGTGTGCACAGCAAAGCAGCTGGGACCAAGAGGAGACATTGCTTCAGCTGCACGAAATACATGGCCATAAATGTCATCTTGTGGTAGGGAGAGGCGGGTGGCTGCTGGGGCGCCGCTGTATCAAGTGTAGTTTGTGCCAGCAAAGCTTAGGATGGATGAAACCAAAAGCAACAGCCTGCGTGGAACATGGGGTCTGTTCTTGCGAGCATGGTCTGTGCTCGGCAGTTGAGTTGAACAGTTCTTGGAGGCTGTCACTGGCTGCAGGAGATACAGACAGAAGGAAAATGTACCTTAAAATATGTAGAGCTAACTGATTTTTCACCTCTCTTTCCAAATACAATGTTATCAAAACCACACTTTCGAAAAAGAGGAAGATTTCTTGGGGGAAAAATAATTGTGTTGTCAGCCCTCAATCCACACCATGTGTTTGCAGTTAGGAGCATGAAGAGGTTGGATCTCCTCCACTGGGGATGGTCGGTGCACAGGGTGTCCTCCTGGAAGGACCCTCTGAAAGGCAGTCGGGACTAGCTCAGGCCACAGCATTTTGTTTTGAGCTTAATGGGAATGAAATCCACCCGCCGGTGGCTTGGGGAAAATACTGGAGCGGGGCCAGGGGTGAATAATGCTGAGTTCAGTTGGGTGGGACCCCACCTGGTTACATAAAGTCATATTTCCAGGGTTAGTTAGTTAGCACTGTTGGAAAAATGATATTAAGTAAGGTCTCCTTTGAAAGAAAACATCCAGTTGTGGAGGCCTTAAAAACAAAATGAAAAACAAACAAACAAACAAAAACCTAACTAGAGAAGCRGTTTTCCACTTCAGCAATTAATGGGAACAAGTCCCTGAATATGCAAACAACCGAAAGTGCTCAYCAAAACCCTCAGATAAACAAACCAAGAAAACAAGTGTCCTCTGGGGAAGGAAAGAGCCGTTCTCTCGCAGGGACAGTTTGTCCCTCCATGGGGCTTGGGAACTTRTTTTCTGTCGGCCTTTCTTCCCTCCTTGGTTCTGCTTGTGCAGCTTCCCGGGCTCTCCCGTRCCTCCGATTCCTGGATCTTGGCTAAATGCTGAAGCGAGTTGCTGTAGTTGGTGGCAGTGAGGGTGGCGCTTTGYGTCGGGCCCGTGTTTGTCCTGCTCAGCTGAGCGGAGCCTCAGCGACCAGGAGTGGACCAGGCAGGTATGAGACAGGCCAGCCTGGCAKGAAGCAGCCCTGCCAGCCCCGAGAACTGCTGTCCCCGGACAGCTCCATYGTGCGTCTGGTCCCAGAGCCGACCTGGGTTGAACCTTGTCCAATGTACAGAAGAAAGGCAACAACTAACTGTGCTCTGACTCAGGTTCCAATTAATGTCTTGGTAACTGTTGTTCCAGTCCGACTGTCTGCAGTGACTGTAAGGGTTGAGTCCCATTTGGATCTTCTCCTTTGCCGTTGTTTATAAAACTTGGAGGAGAGGTTTTGCATAAGTGAGGAAGCTGAGTGGAGGTGTCACCCCTTTGGCCTCATCTTCAGAACTCTTCACCTTTTTCTTTCCTCTTGCTATTTTGTAATCCAGCTGGAACTTTTGAAAATGTTGYGAGTGTAAAAGTTCTCTGTAAGCAGGAGCTCTTTGAACCACCTGAAGGAAATTGCTGGCATGTGTACAAGACTCGCGGTGCTGTCTCCCCCAAAGGAGACAGCTGAAATATTGATCACATTGCAAGGAGAGCAAAGCTGTGGGGTCTTCTTGAAGAAGGATGATGTTATGGGATTTTAGACTTCCTCAGTCCTTCTCCTTTTTCCTGCCACTCTAATCGCTTTTTTAGTATAGTGGGAATATCTCTACTGTTCTTGAACATGAGGCTTCCATCCTTGTTTATGATCAGATCACCTAAAAGCTCCAGGACCAAAATGCAAGCTCAGATWAGCCCAAAGTTTGTTGTGTTTTGGAAGAGCAAAGGGTAAAATCAGTCTTTGAGACCTGGGGTATTCTGAGATAGGTTTTTTGACTTATCAAGCCTTACAAAAAAGCAGCTGCTCTCAAGTTGTCATTCTGCCAGCTTTCAAGAAAAACAACCAAAAAAAAAAAATCCCTGCCAAATAGGGATTAAGCTTTAGGGACTGAGCCTGTTTTAAGTAGTCACAGCCCCTGCATTCGTGCTTCCTGTGATGTTCCTACCCATTGGGGCAGTGACTTGGAAAGCAGGGCTTATTACAGAGTCTGGCCCTCCCCTCGTGCAGCGCTGTAGGGAAGGGCTGCAGCCTAGTGACTCAGGATCCCAACACCCCAGAGCAAGATCGAAATGTAAACATCTGAAAGGAAGGATATGTGAGGTGCAGTGCCACTGAGGAGCTGCTCTTGGCCAGGAGACATCAGGTAGGTGGTCCAGTTGGGCCCAAGCGTTGCCCCAAGGCAGTGTGGCTGGAAAGCCCTTGCTGAACACCCTGCTTGAGCTTTGCAGCCAGAGAAACGTGTGCCCTTCCATAAGCCAGTGATTTACACAGAGCACTGGGTACCCTGGAGCATCTCTTTACATGTAAATAACTTATAAAATATTAATGACTTCGTGGATGGGAGAAGGAGAGGGAACTGGAAATGGCAGATGTACAGAGAGCAAGAGAGAAGCAAGTTGTCTCCTTTAAGCTTAAAACAAACACGTAGTAAAGTTGTGAGGGTTGTGCTRCACTGGTTGTATCTCTCCTCAGTCCTGCTAATGCCTCAATGCTCCAGAGATTTCAGTGCAAAACCATAATCCAATTTCACTGTAATGAGGTTCATAGGAGAGGGGAGAGCATGTAAGAATCAGACATCACTCCCCTTTTCTCAGTGTAGTTGCACTTGGTTTATAGGCCCTCATGTTAACTGCTGCAACTCAAATGATCTTAATGATGAGGTCAGGAGCACTTCTAAAAACTGGATACCCTTTGATTYACCAATGGAAGTTGCCCAAATCAGTAGGGAAAAAATTCAAACTGTTACAAGCAAATGATAAAAGCCACTTGCAAAAATAAGTGTTCTGTGGTTGTGATTTCTCATTTAAATTGCATCTTCTTATAGAACTTTAAGTGGTTACTTACGCTGTGGTAAAACTAATACGACGTTAAATAATGTATGCAGTTTTTAATTAAGTGTTTTAATCCGAGTGGTGACTGCGTTATGCTGTGTTTAAAGAACAGCATCTCTGCCAAAATGATTCTTCCTCCAGCTATAGGCAAATGATTTTTGTCATTGACTAGTAAGACAAAGGCYAATGGTAGTGACTCTGGGCCTTAATCATAAGACTGCTGGAAAATCTCTGAATTTCAGCAGAGAGCCCTTTGAATAAGAATTTTTATTGTCTGCTACCATTATCTCCTTTAATATGTAGCCTGTCTGCTGGCTTGCTGCTAGTACTGGAGATTACTAGAATCCGCGCTTTGGAGAATGCTGTTCTTTTCTTTTCTTTATCTGATCGCACCAAGGAATTGAGTCACTAAATTAAAATTCCGACTATTGGGCTATGAGTCCTGGATGATGAAAAGCTTCATCAGCAGAAAAATGCGTGTTCTTTAATTTTAAGCATGAGAGAGCTGCAACCCATCTGTTCTAAGTGTGAGGGCTAAGAAATGACAGTAATCTAGCTAACAACTGTGATATGTATATTAACACATTTGGGTAATTTTGTATTTCTCTAGCTTATTTATCTTCCTTTGTTTRTTTGTTTGTTGGTGGTTGTTTTTTGGGGTTTTTTTGGTGCCTTCTTCATTCAT